ACAAAATAAGAGGTACTCCAGCATATGCTGGTTTATTATAAGCATCTCTGCCTAGCTTACTATTTTCTCTGATAAATATTGAATCCAAAAATGTTAACTATAATTTTATAATTGGATTGTGAACCTAATAATACCTTCACACCAGTTTTCCCAGAAACGAAGGAAGATGTCTTAAGACAACGTCATTATGAACGTCGTAGTATAGCCAAGTGGTTAAAGAGTAAAGGAAATCAGTTGAATTCTTCATAAGAAATGGAAATAGCTACAACAATATTACCCCAAGAGATTCATCAAAACCCGCTTTTTCTTCGTATATACAAGAGTAATATATAAATAGGATGAAATTCGCCCTAGGTTTCGAGATAATTGTTCATTTATTCAAGGCCCACACAACTAAGAGGATTATATTTGCATTAGTAAGTATGAAGTCTCAAATAAATTCAAGCAATTGAAGAGCATCAGATGACAAGTATAAAATTTGGTTTATTAATTTCCTGTTTTATCAGCTGGAAAGAAATCAACCACAATAATATAAGCATGACAGATAAGATAGTACAACAAATAAATATGATGAAGAATTACTTTTAGAGATGCTTCATTAACATCGGAACAGAAGAATGCTCCATTTGAAACGATTGGAGAAAATGAATGCAATTTTCGAAACTTATCCGAAAGGGAATCGGACGAAGACTGCGAAGTAAATTCTGGTAAAAATGCGCCTGAAGAAAAATTTTGCAAAACAAATTGATCTGATTGAGTTCCATTGAACCCGTCTAGCATACTCCCATCATCGATTGAAAGATGGTCTTGGGGTCTTAAATAAAAAAGTTTATAAATTGTAATAAGGCAGTGCAAATTAGGTTACAAATCTTTAAATATGAGTTGTTAACTCTAATTTTATTCAGAGATAAAATGCATATAGAAAGTTCACACAGCATAACTTAACAATTGTAAAAAAATAATTATAAGTTTGAGTGTAAGCAAAGAGAACTTACTTGAGCATGCTGGTTTGAAGCTCCAATATATGGTCCGCCATTTCTTTCCGCTCTATGGGAAATTTCGGCATTGTGAATTCCAAACCAGTCTCCTTAAATAAGGGATGAGTCCCACCTCGCCCGCGTTGTTTAATATTTTCGGCTAGCTCAACAAGTTTTGAATCCATATTGGCAAATAGGTGCTGAATCTTTTTAACACTAGTGACGTTCAAATTTCCTATAACGATATAAATAATTAAGAAGGGTATCGAATCGTATTATAAATGGGGTTTGGAAGACTCAACCAAAACCAAAGAAACTACGGACAGATACACGCAATAACAGCGCAAGCCCTTGGCATCACTTGGGAAAGCAGTGCGAGGTATCGTGCACGGATGAAATGACAGTCGTATGACAAACAAACGGTATATAATGATTAAAATAACTAGTTTTGATGGGGCTATAAAATTGCAAATATTGAAAGGAATAAATCGAAAAGTATACAAACCTAATCTCTGGTATTAGTGGGCATCTACCTAGCTTTATATACTTACCATCATACGTAGTCATCTATGAGCAGGAGAATGCAAGGCAATTATAAAAGTACATTTCCAGCAGGTAAAAAATAGACTGATAGCTTACTTTGTGGTTTAATGAGATAAGAAGCTACGGGAAAACCCAGTTGTGATAGAAGGCCCGGGCAAAGGTGAAGGTAGAACAGAGGCGAATGACCCTCAACAATCATTCAACCTAAGCAACGAGTTCGATTTGCTTGTAATAAAATATATTTAAATTATAATTTCAAGTCCTTATGATTTTTGTAGTAATATTTAACCCCAAATCTGCCTGCAAGAAAAAACTTTAATTGTTTGCAATAGATTAAAGGCCAAAGATAACCAGATAGTGATGCTAACATTATAGGTTAGTCGAAGATATCAAGACCAAGATGGTGCGGACTTTTGTGTATTCGCAGTCTCCTTTCGTTGTAAAGACGTTGTTTGACCTTGTTTTCGCAACTTTGTCATATTGGTAGGAAGACATAGAGGAAATCACCTAGTTCGGAGTTTATTGTATGTATGATAATCTGTGCTACTCGAGGCGTTATTAGTCCTTTCCTGCGTCTGGATGACTAATTCGAAGCTAAAGCCTCTTAGTAAGTCTCATGTTCACGTCTTTGCTACATGAAAAAAGTCTATGGTAAGACCTAATGTCAGCTAAATAGCTCCAGTCTCCGCCACGTCTATCCTGTTTCTATCCCTAATATCAAGTCTATGACTTGATATGCCTTAGTTTCTTGTGTGCCAACCCACAAATATTGTGTTATTGCTTGCCTTGAATAGATTCACTGTTAAACCACAAAGTTTGTGGGTCGGCACACAAGAGACTAAGGTATATCAAGTTATATAGTTGGTGTTTGGGATAGAAACAGGATAGACGCGGCCGAAACTCGATCTAGTTGGCTGACAGTAGGTTTAACCAGAAACGTAGTCCATATTTGAATGTCGTGACCATGCAACTAAGAGTTCTTATGCAATACTTGGATGACTACTTTGCTCTTTTGTCACATGGTAAGAAAAATTTAAATGAATTCCTCAATTTCCTTAACAAACTTAATGAAAGAATTAAATTCACAATGGAGGTGAAGGAGGATGAACGACTACCCTTTCTGGATATTAAAAGGATGCGCTCCAAAGGGGCACTCATGATGGGACTATACATAAATAATTCATATGCGGGAATGATCCTTAATTGTTAGTATCACGATAACTACAGACTAAAGATCGAAATAATGAGGAGTTTTATCATCAGAAGCTTACGACTAACGGACACTGAGTTCTGAGACGAGGAGTTGGACAAACTGACACGGATTGCCTTAGTAGCGACTGTTATTAGGAAATGGAATATCAAGTTGAAAACAAGTGAGAAGAAAACACTTTTCACTGGTCTGCCGACACAACACGAAAAGACGGACAAACTTGATTGCTCGGGAGTTATTCACATCAAATGCAGCAACTTGGAGTAGAAGTATATCAGTAAAACAGGAAGAAATATCGGCCTACGAATTAAGGAACGTCAAAGACTATTGAGGAATAGGGATACGGAAAGATCCGAAATGGCGGAACACATTGCACGAACGGGGCACGAAATCGACTAGAAATCAACCTATAGGTAGGCTGTATATGGTAAAAATACGAAAAAACGCAAGATCCGAGAGGCTATCGATATACTGACCAAGAGAAATCTAATAAACAGAGACTTGAAGAAGGCAGGATCAGCAAATAATTTGCATATTGCCTAAACAAACTCGGAGAAGACCATTCAACAGTAAGATCAGCCAACAGAAGACGGCTGGATTAAGGTAATATCCTTGATTTTAGGAAAAGAGATTGCAGGGCAACGAGAAAGGAACAATCAGAAGCAATGAGGGGACGTCTTCAGTAAGCCTAACCAAAAAAAGTAGAGCCACGACAATTGTGGGTTGACACACAAGAGACTAGGGCATAGGAAATGATAGACATGGTATTACAGATAGAAACTGGAAAAATGCGGTGGAGATTAGTGCTATTTGGCCATAAACTTGATCCTTAACTCACGACTGTTGTTAACCAACCAGCTCTGGCTTCCACTGCTTCTATCATCTTTCTATCTATAATACCATGTTTATGACTTGATATGCCCTAGTCCCTTGTGTGCCAATCCACAAACGTTGTGGTTCAACATTGAAACAAATCAAAGCAAGCAGTACCACAACATTTTGGGGATAGCACGCAAGAGCCTAAGGCATAGTCTTGGTAATAGGGATAGAAACAGAATAGACACGGTGGAGACTGGAGCTAGTTGGTTGACAGTAGGTTTTACCATAGACGTGGTCCATGTAGCAAAGACGTGACCATGAGACATACTCAGAGGCTTTAGCTTGGAATTAATCATTCAGATGCAGGGAAGGACAAATAACGCCTCGAGTAGCACGAATGAGGTGGTAGGGGTCGAGTGAAATACGTGATATGAGAAATATTAATCCTATTTTGTTTAAAGTGATGGAGGACCTTCATCATCTTTAGGTGATCGTATGAATGGGAAGTCGACTTATTTAGTCTATACATTAACGGTAAGTTCATTTATTCTAATTCACTTAAATTATAGAATAAATATATTTATTTTACTGAATCAGATTAGTATATTGGTCATATCAGCAAATAATGCTAAATAGAGTATAACGCCATTAAAATACGCAATCGAAAATATTTGTTTACTTCTTTCAACGATCAATAAGTGTATAATCCCACCTTATACTCCTTCATGTGAAAAGCTAGGAAACTTCCTTTAACCTGTTAGTCAGATTACCTTTGGCTTAATAAAATCAAAGTTACAAAACGAACTATGAATATAACTTGCGTTGAATCGTCTTCTCAAATAAGCCTTCGCTTCGTTACAATGTTGACTCACATACATTATACTATGTCCTCTCATTACTGATATGTGTTCTATCATACTTCGACTGTATACTTGCTACATTCCCAAACGCAGTGAGCATCTTTAGTAAGTAACGTCCCTCTTCGCACTGAATCAAAATTCGTCAAGGTGGTAAATGAAGTCGATACTCTTTAACAGTTTACTGAGTAACGCTTGAAGATGTTATATTCTACCGTTCTACACTATATCTCATATATCCATATTATATATTCTTATATTAGGCAAGGTATTATCTTCTATACTTTAATTGGTCCTATAAACGCCAAGGATTCGTGATTTAGGACATAAGTGTCATGACAGCTATAATCTTTATGGTTATTTACCGAAATTTCACAACACAATGAGATAAGATCATTATGACTAGGTGAAACAAATAGCAAAGCGTTTAGAAATAAGAGGAGTATACTAAATAAGAAAGAGAAC